CGGCAGGGAGAGGCGGGGGGCGCATGCGCCCAGGGGGCACGGCCCTGCCCGGCGGGGCGGCCGCGGGTGTCAATGTCCCCCGTGTGCGCTTCCTCCCTCCCTTCCTGCCCCTCGCCTCCGTGCAGGGGCAGCTCCCCGAGGCTGGGCTGGTGCAGTTGGAGGCTTTGGTGGGGGGCGGTTGGGGAGAGGTAAGGAGACAGCTGGCCGTTGCCTCGTGGTGTGGGGCCTGTGGCTCCACACAGGGGCAGGAGGTGGCCAGCTGCAGGGGGTTGACACGGAACGACTCACACCTTGTTTCCCTTCAGGACTTGGACCTCTCAGAGGCTGTGTCAGCCTTGTTTTGGTGCCGGACACAGCTGCCGTTGAGCGGGGTGTCCTAGTGTCACACCTTATTCCTGGTGGGTTTGGAAGGGAGGAGGGAGAGGTGCACTGGCCGCAGGGCTGTGTGTTCTGGAGGGACGATGGTGCCAGGGCAGCTCTTGCTGTGGAAGTGCCCTGTGTTGCCCCTAGGCTTGACCCACCCTGGGGAATAACATACAATCCCCACCCCTGTGCCCCAGCATTCTGTTAGGGCTCCTGATATTGTAGGTAAGATTGTATGTATCTAAGCAAAAATAGTTCTGTGTCCTCCAAAGTGGAGTCTGGAAGCAACTCGCATCTTCAGAGTAGAACTGCATTTTAGTATTCTGTTTTTTCTTACAAACGCTTGTGTACATGCTTAATTTAAAACACGTGGCTAATCCAGTTGAAGTCAGAAGTCTCATTTGCATGAATAAAGGGATGGGATGCATAAGCCTGCAGAGTTGTGGTCAGGTTATTATGTTATTAAGTTACCAAGGGCTGTCTAATTTGTCCCTAATGAAGGGCTGAATTTTATAGGTAGAACTGTAGTATAATACTGCAAGTGCTTTACTTAGTGGAGAGAGAAGCAATTGTGCTGTGAGTCACGGATATTTAAAAGTAGCTTTACGAGCTGGTGGGTACATTACACTTACCCAACCAGAAGCATAACCTACTGCACTTACAGTTGTGTACTTACTTACAGTTGTAACTGTTTTGGCCTGTGTAGGAAGAAGGCTGTAGCCCACAAATGCAGATTATTAAGTATTGTTGCTTGATCCAGTCTCCACAGGTGGTTGATTGTTTTCTTTCCATTAGGAGTGTGCAAAAAATTGTGAGCTTTTGGCAGAACGAAAAGTGAATTAGGTGGTTCAGGTTTCTAAAGCTGTAGTAATAGTCTTACTGCTGCAGTCTAGTTTTATTTATGTGTATAGTAACTTTCTTATTATAGTTGCAGTTTTGTCTCAGATTTATATTGTTGCCTCTGCAGAGGGAAGAAGAAAAAAAGAAATAAATAGAGGAGTGTGCTGAGTTTCTTCTTGTACCTGTTATGGATAGATAGACTAAAACAGTAATAAGTTTGCAGTCTTTTATAAATTGACTTTTTTCCAAACAAATGCTTGTTTGGTGCTGAGGTTAAAAAAGAACCCCAACCTCTCAGAAACTGCTTGTTCTGTTTTATCTATGTGTTAATCCCTGACAGTTTTATAATGTTTTAGCCCATAAAGATTTTTACACTTAGTTACTTTTGGTGGTGTGTACTCCGAGTGAATTTTCTTCCGTTTTGTTAATTATAATTTCCCATCCATGACTGGTTTTTGTTACTGTTTGAAATGAGAGGAGCATCGTTTTTATTTCCTATTTTTCAAATTAATTATCATTAATGTACTATTCCATTAAGACTTACCTTGTAAGCAAGTTTATTTGGTTCAGCAATCTTGAGACTTTTTGACATGACTATAGTGCTGTACACTGTAGGCAGACTTTAGACCACAGATATTTTTTTTTCTTATGCTGCTGTGCTTTTTTTAACCCTCCAGGTCTTTTAAGTAGTCATTACAGAACAGCTACATAACTCTTGAATTTTATTTTTTTTTTTTTAACCAGGGGATCATTGATATAGAGTTATTCCCATTTTCTTACTGTTGCTCTTTCTTTTGTGGTACTCTTTGACACCAAGTTGTTTTCATTAGTTTCTGAAAACGCATCTCTGGGCTTCACCAGGTCCCCCTGGAGAGATTTGTAATTTTGGATGTTGAATTAATTAACTAGAGTGGAAGGACTAGGCATTTGCAGCAAGCTGTGTGGCATAGTAGTTACATTAAGTCCCCATGTCGTGAAGCAAATGCACTACTATTTGAGAAGCAAATTCAGCTTTAGTTCTTCCATGTTCTCCCCTCCGCTTGTGCTTGCCCTTGCCACAGAAAGGGAAAGAAGGATGCTGTGGAAAAAGTTGCTCAAGCAGCTAAAGAAGTTCTGCTGTAAGAATAACCTTAATCTCCCCTGAGGAGGAGCCAATGTGACAGGTCACAGTGTGTTAGTGAGGATTGTCCTTCATGAGGCTTGTACTCAGCAGTCTTGGAGAAACTGAAAGGCACAGAGCTCCCATCTTTGTTCTTATCACTTACCAGCCTTAGATCTCTCATGTGTCCCCAGTGCCTGACTTAGCACTCGGACTACATTTACATCTCCTGAACCACCACATATAGCAAAGGGATTCTTCTGCTACTGTGATAATTTTTTTTAAATAGTATTCAGTTTAGAAAGGCAATGAAGAATAACATCTTTATCTTGATGGGTTTATAGGAGGTTGAGGAGTGGGAGACCACCACAGTGGAAAGCTGAATGATGTTAGTTGTTTTAGGACATGTAGCAGGGGTGGAGGAGGTATTTACAGGAAAATTGCTTTTTCATTTGTCATAGATGATTCTCTGCACTGTCACATAGACAGCAACATACTTGGCCAAGGCTACCTTTATTAGCAAAGCAGGCAGATGTTGAAGTCTTAAAAATACTACTTTGCCACCTCTGTCTTTTATTGAACTGAAAATATAGCTTACATTAATGGAATTTTAGTTTTTATAATGCTTTGCCTGAATTGTATTAAGTGTCACAGAGTTCTTTTCTGTAACAAACTCTCTTTTCAGTGCCAATGTTTTGCCAACCAACTGGACACCTGGCTTCCCAAAAGCTCAAATGCATGTTTTCTAAGCTTGGCAAGTCAAGATCAAAATGAAGTTATAATAAAAATCCATGTGGATTTCTAATTTGGAGTCTGAGGTTCAAGACAAAGGTGAGAAATCCTGAAGAAACGGGAGTGCTTCATAGGTACACAAATTGGGAAAAGCAGTTTATTTCCTTTGAAATTACTGCAGTTGTTCTGAATGATACTGAGTCCGCTCTGAAGGTGTATGATCTGCTGATTCTGTTGATACTAATGCAGCTACCTTGCTGCTTAGTAATGTCAGCATTTGGTAAGTTATCTCTAGTTTATATAAATTTCCACTGACTGTCATGGATCTCCCACACTAGAGAAAATGTAAGAATTAATATCTTGTTTTGTATAACCTGTTTAGCATCAGTTTTCATAGTGGCACCTCTCAAAAAAATCCCAAACCCAAAAAACAGTGTAATCCTTTGATGAATCTAGTATTAATCTGTATTAATCTAGTCTCAGAGACAGTAACATTATGCTCTTATAGGTGTTTGAATTCTCAGTGCACTTAATGTAGAAAAATTGCTAGGTCTGACAGGTGTGGAAAGTGAGCAAAACTTGTTAACTATGGAGACGGGATATGCAGAGTCAGCACTTCATGGATTAATGTGATGGCTTGGGACTTTGTGGCTTTCTAGTGGAGCTTCCAAACATTCAGTAATCGGTTTATTCAACACAGGGTACTGGTTTAAATATTCTAAATAAGCACTTAAGGACTCCTAGTAGCAAACTTATTTCCCTCTGGACTTTACAGATGACGTATCAGTGGGCTTTTAACCTGCCACAGAAGGAATACTGCTAAATGTCCTACACACTAGTGCGAAATCAGTTGGCCAGTTATGGTTTTGTCCTAGGGTGTTGAGATTGAATGCTCAGAGATTGCTACTAGTAGCAGAAACTAGTAATAAACTTGTGATCTTTTATATCTAGTTAGAAATCACTATGTAGGCAGTTAAAAAGCAAAAAAAAAAATTATGATTCTTAATTTCCTTTTTCTTGTTCTGCATAATCTAAGATCTTCACACGAAGTCGTATCTCCTTCCCAGCCCTGACCAGAGCACGTGTCTTGTGAGGTTGTGCTACATCTGCAACCTGAACAGCAAAAACCACCCTGCGGCTTCCTGGGGTGGGATGGGTTTACTGGGGCTTTAGTCCAGGCATCAGTGCCCTTTGTTGAGGTTGTCTATTGCTTCTGTGCTGTCTGGAGCTTAACATCTACTTTTTAATAACCATGTTATACCAAGCAACTGTAGTGTAGTTTAAAAAAAAAAAAAAGATTGATTTACTTAACAGGATAGCTAACGATATTTAAAAAAAAAAAATGATGTCCCTTCTGTAGTTTTGGTAAATTTGTGTGTGGATAGGCGGGGCAGTGGGAAATGGTACAGAATTGTCTATTGACTGAAGATTCAGTATATTTAGAACACAAAATGCATCGATACATTCTCACCTGCTTATTTGAAAGTTTAGATGTTGGAATGTAAACTGAAGTTGTGGCTCAGCTTCCATAAACTTTGTGTTTGTAAGGCCCTTTACTGTGTTTATTTAAATCAGTTTCTCATGGCCTCTGCACAGATCTTAGGGGCTGACCTGCTGGAGAGCAGCTCTGAGGAAAAAGACCTGGGAGTCTTGGTGGACAATGGGATGCCCATGAGCCAGCAATGTGCCCTTGTGGCCAAGAAGGCCAATGGCATCCTGGGTTGCATCAGGAAGAGTGTGACCAGCAGGTCAAGGGAGGTTATCCTCCCCATCTGGAGTACAGTGTCCAGTTCTGGGCTCCCCAGGTCAAGAAGGACAGGCAACTGCTGGAGAGGGTACAGCAGAGGGCTACAAAGATGATTAGGGGCTTGGAGCATCTCACAAGGAGAGGCTGAGGGACTTGGGTCTTTTTAGTCTGGAGAAGAGAAGACTGAGAGGGTATCTGATCAATGCCTATAGATTCTTAAAGGGTGGGGTCAGTCTTTTTTCAGTGGTGCCCAGTGACAGGGCAAGAGGGAACAGGCCCAAACTTGAACATAAGAAGTTCCATCTAAACATGAGGAGGAGGAACTTTAAGGGACGTGAGGAACAGTTTGAGGGTGGCAGAGACCTGGAACAGGCTGCCCAGAGAGGTGGTGGAATCTCTGTCTCTGGAGACATTAAAAACCGGCCTGAACATGTCCTTGTGCAACCTGCTCCAGGTGGACCTGCTTTGGCAGGGGGGTTGGACTAGATGATCTCCAGAGGTCCCTTCCAACTCCATATCATTCTGTGATCCTCTGAGCTGTATTTTCCTGGATTCAAGGCAGAAGTTGGGAAGGAATCTTACCAATATTTTGGTTGACAGGTGTAGTTTACAAGTGATTAAACTGAAGAGCAAAAATGAGTTGTTTTTTCAACCCAACTGTGGCTTCTCTTGAGCTTAGCAACGCAAAGTCTGTCATGCAATGCATATGGGTTCATCTGAAGATCAAGAGATTTTGTCAAAATGTTCCGCCCTGTCCTTATCTAAACTACAGATGTCAGATACAACAATGAAAGCATTTTAACACAGAAATGGCTTTGGATACAGAAATCCACATAATTAAAAAATGTGTCAAGGACCTGAGACATGTCTTTGCAAGTCATCAGGTCTGATTCTAAAAATTTATCTTCCACTTGGAGGAGTCTTCATTGTAGTTGATGAACCATTTGAAGATCATGCTTCTTTTTGATGAGATTATGTATAAAAATGCTGGAGCTATTGGATGACAGTGTTCATCTGGGTCTGGAAAGTTAGAAGGTTCATAACTATTCCTGATGAGGTCATTTGTGGGAACAGATCTCAACTAAATAAAACGGGGCCACTGGTACTGAAAGAATAGTAGACACAGAAGTGTAAGCTGGGTCCTGCCAATCATGCAGGAGGAAAAAGAATCACAAAATTAACTCTTATGTATTCTTTAAAAGTGACATAAATCGTTTGGTGACTGCATCATTATGCATATCCACATGGAAGATCTGAAGACAATTCTTAACTTTATAAAGTAGATTTTTATGAACTTTATTGATTTGTTAATGGACTAATAATGGTCTCCTCTCTTGCTTGCTATAAATTTCTTTGAACAGCAGAGTATCCAGAGCAAGAGCCTCCTTTGCCCAGCTCTGACTGTGACTGAACACACGTTCTGTGGGGGGCATCACTCGGGCAAAGCCTGACTTGTAATGCAGGTGGTAGTGCTGTGTTTATTAATGAACTAGGTTGAGAGGACAAATAAGAACTGGGAACAAAGGTAAAAATGTGATTGAAAAATCTTCTGGTTTAAGTATTATTGAAAAGAAAACAGTAATTTTTACAACTGGTAGCTAGTGATTTTTCTCTTTCTATTGACATATAGAGAAATGTCAACTTTGAAGTAAAATCTGTGGCCTACAAATGTTTTGCTCCAAATTACAGATGTTAATCTTTTTCTTCATAGAGGCCTGTTGAACTCCAGTAACTGTTACCATTACACAGTGTAATCATCTTGATGGATAATGTGAAAGGAGTTGCGTGTCTGCTCATGCTTTTGAGATCTTAATTTTATTTGCTCTAAATTAGAAGCAGTTCTTGTGCAAAGATTAAGTATACTGCCACTCTCCTCCTTTCCACCCAGAATTTCCAAAGCCAGTAACTTAAAGCTTGGTGGGTACAAAGGTTTCCCTCATCCCTTTTATTTTCCTACAAGGTGATGATATGGTTTCTTATTCTTTTGTTTGTTCTGCATTTTGTTACATGTACTGAAAGTATTAAAAAGAGCTTGTGGGTGGTGACTTTTCTGCTTTCTGAGACACAGTCAGATGAAGGTTGTCCCTGGCCACCACTTCGGACGAAGGGGCAGGAACCCATCCTGAGGTCCTGTAGCCAGCATTGGCTTATACCCCTGTGAAACAAACCTTATGTATTCTTAAAAAGGCTGTTTTCTAGCTTGAGGGTACAGTTTCACAGTAGCTTCAACCTTTCTAAATTCAGGCTGTGATTTGGGTGGTCTCTCCTTCGTGTTAATATTAGAGCATTAGCATTGCACTGGCCTGACCAGAGCTGTCTAAAGCCCTTCTTTTTTTTTTTTGTTCTGTTGTTTTGTTTTGTTTTTTCCCTAAGCTTGTCTTCAGTTCTGGTCCTTGATCTTTGTGACTTTGCAGCTGGGAAGTGCCAGGGCTTACACAGCAGAAGGAAGGCATGACCAGCCATAGCAGAGTGTAGGATTTGCTGAAGTTGGAGGTGGTAGAAACTTTACTCGTGCGGAACAGTCACCTTTGTTTTATCTCAGATTTTTGTCTCTTTTTTTTTTTCCTTTTTTTTGGTAGGGGAGGGGAAAGAGATGTGCCAATATTGTTGAGCTAATGGTGTTACTATATTTTGCCTAATGCCTTTATTAGATTTTTTTTTTGAAGGGAGAAACTTCTTCTTTGAAACTAGAGGCTCTTGGACTTAGCAAAACAATGTAATAGTAATGTTTACTTATTTATGAAACGCTGTCAGCGTTGTTCCAAACATGTAGTACACCAGTTCAACCTGAGTCTGTCACAAAGGAATACGAATGCTGACTGTAACAGGTTTTTTTTTTTTTTTTGAAAGTAAGTGAAAGTGTTGGTAAAGGACTCTAAAGAAAACATGTCAACACTTAGTGTTACCACAGTAAGCATAAATGAGAGCCTCTGCATTCTGCAAGTATTACAATTTTTATTCCAACTTTCAGAGTATCTTCTTTTATTTTTAGATGAATCTGCGTTCTGTATTTACTGTAGAACAACAAAGGATATTACAGCGTTATTATGAAAATGGAATGACAAATCAAAGTAAAAATTGCTTTCAGCTCATATTGCAGTGTGCACAAGAAACTAAGCTGGACTTCAGTGTAGTCAGGGTAAGTACTGAGGCCTTCCAAATTTGTATGTTAAAGTTTATACACTTTCATTTCTTTACATAAAATATTTGGTGAGGACTGGAGTCTCTAACTTCATACTTGTCTTAAATCAGACTTCAGTATGTGTGTGTGACATTCATTTTTATCCAGTGGGGCCTGTTTATAGTTTGTTTTTGCTGAAATGTCTTCACATGATTGCTGTATTTAGCAGGGGCCTGGATTGCACAAGGAGTGATTTATTTTTTTTGTTTGTTTCTTTGCTTATTTTGTTTGTTTGTTTGGGGGGGGGGGGTTGGTTGTTGTTTGTCTTTTGTTGATGGTGTTTTGGTTTGAGTTTTGCTTTTGCTTTTTTTTTATTAAATTGCAAATTAGTTTGCCATATAGAAACTTTGTGCAATATATTGTATCAAAGAAAGGTCATGTTATTAGGAAAGTGTTCTTCAGTTAAACAAATTTCTATAACCTAATGTATTTGGGGGAGTAATTGTGGAACTATTTCTTTTCACACAGTCTGTCACACTCGTATTCCATGTCACAATCATAGATATTGTGGTCCCTCATGGTTATTTACAGTGAGTACATTCTTTTCTTATAAAAGAAGAATGCTACCAGTGCTAACAGGAGCTCTTCCAAAGTCTCTGAGTTCCATGGGAAGGGAAATAATAACCCTTTTGTGAAACACTAGACAACAAAATGGCTGTTGTCTCAGAGCAGAAATAGAAATCGTGAAGCATTAGCTGGAAAAAATAACAACAGTAGTGGAGTTACCAGGAGTTGCTGCAATGCTGGACAGTGAAGAAGAAGTAAGATTAGTCTAGGTTTTTTTGTGGTGTACCAGTGTTATATTCACAGTAATGACGCCCCCTGCCCTCTAATTCTTAACTGGATTCCCCTCCCTCAAAGCACTCTGGTATTATTAAAACTTACTTTCTCAGCTCTAGGTGGTGGGAAGTTGTGAAAGTCAGCCAGAAATTCAGACTCTCTGGAACAGACAAACAGTTGTAACAGGAATCTGGATGCTGATGATGCAGTCAGGGCCTGTTTTTCTATTTTTATTCTGATTGAAGGACCTAGAGGATGCAGCCAGTCCCTCCTCTACTTACAGTCATTCAGTCTTCGTCTTGTTTCCCTTTTCCTCTCTGTTTCCCTTGCTGCAATAATGTATCATGATCTTTTTTCCTTTAGTTTTCTTCTCTTACTGAGCTCCCATTTGCAATGCTTTCTTCCTACTTGTTAAGTGCAATGAAAACAGACCCAGCATTTGTCCTGCGTTTGTCATATTTTCACATGATATTACCTTTGTCTTCTTTACAACCCTCCTTTCTGCCTCTCCTAATTCTACCCTTTTTTCTTTTTTTTCATATAAAACTCTTGGACAGAGATCAGTACTTCTTTACACAATGTCTAGCAGAATGATACTTGGGTTGCAGCTGGCACTTGCAGCTATGACTATAATAGGAACATAAATTCCCTAAATGTAACTCTTATAATTCAAATGTCCTAGGTCTGTGAATATATTTTTTCCCCAAGTCAGGATTTCTACCGCCTTGTCCCTTAGAACTACATCCTATCTTTCCCATCTTGAGCTGGGTTGGAAAAAAAAAAAAAGGTTCTATTTATGATATGATGAAACCTCTACAGATTTATTACTGCAATACAGAAAAATATGTTATCCCTTTCAAAATGAGGAAATGTGGTAGAGTTACTCCTGGGAAAAAACCCTAGCCCTCTTCCAATTTAATAGCTATGTATTCTAGCTATGTCAGGCTTCAGTGGCCTGGTTTTGTTCACTAATATTAGCGTACTCCTGGTTGCTTTTTGTCTTTACATGAAATGTGAGCAATGTGACTTTATCAAGTGCAAAAGTGCTCCAGGTCTGATTTTCACAGTATGGCTGAGCACTGGGAGCAGCAGGTGTGGGGTTCTCCCCATAGTACAACAGCAGATATTAGAAGAGTTACAGTTTTGTTATTCTTCTATATCTCTTGTAGAGTTTCCTGAGGACACTTTATTTTCAGATTTAGGATGGACTTTTAGTCAAAACTAACGGCCAGGCACCACTGCCAGGCCCTCTGTGGTGTGTGTCTGGATTGTGGGACAGTCACAATCTGTTCCAGCTCTGCCATGTTCAAACTGGGAATGTAAAATCAGGGTCTCTTAAATTCCAAGTAATTTTCTGAACAGCTGGGCAATGTATCATCTCTTCTGGGAGCTTCTTCTCCACCTAAATAATAGTTGAGAATTTCAGTAATGCTCCCAGTGTTAGTGGAAGTGCTCCCAAAATTTACTAATTGGGGAATTTGATTGAAACAAACATTTTTGTATCTTTTCTTAGGATATTTTGTACTTAATGACTCCTCTGTCACATCCCAAATTAATATGATGACCATCAAGCTATTAACAGTGTGGAGCTTCCCTTTCAGTCTAAGGGTATAGTTTTACTTAATTCTTCTCAAGGCTAATGTCTCAGAGTGCTAAAAATAGGAGGTTTTGTACTCTTTCCCTTCTCCCAGCTGTGCAGTTCTTTCTCTCCCATCTTTCTTCTTGTGCTGATCGTTTCTGGTATTTATTCAATTTCAGAGTAACCCAGTTAAATTTGCTAAGCTTACCAAAACTTTTTTTTTCCCTCACCAACTCAATTTTATGCCCTTTGGGGGTTTTGTACTCACTGATCTTTCAGGTGGGTGCTTTTGAATAAATGGTGGGAGTGAGAAGCTGGAGACATGGTCAGGAGAATGGGACTTTTAGCAGTGGTAAATCTGACGTGCTGTCTCATGAAACTGTACTTTAATTCCAAGTGAATAGTAGTGCTAGTAAGTTATTTGCATTTCTTTGAATGCATTTCTTTTCAGGAAAACTGTGAGGAAGCACTTCAGATTTTAATTCTATACAGTTGAAAATGTTTGAGATGAAATCTTTTTTCCTGGTCCAAAATTTGCAATGTCTCTATTTAATTATGAGTTCTATCTTGAAAGCTTATTAACTGAGCAGAAATTATTAAAAAATAAATTTGATCTTCTAATTTTGTTTTATGCAATAAAGGAAAGTAACTTGAGAGCTGTGGCTATGGTTTCTGCTTTTGAGGAAAAAAAATTATCACTAGTAACTGAGATTTTACTCCATAGGATGCAGCAACTCATGCCTCAAATTAGGCATTTTGTAAAATCTGACAGCAAAAATCAGTAGAATGGAATGGGGGCTTCGGCATACTTCTGTATGGCAGGGATGTGTATTTTCCTGTAGCAAAATCTGTTTACTTCCTTAGCAGGTATTGGTCTGTGAAGAAAGCTTTCCTCTTTTCATGTGATGAGATGGAAACCTAAGATAGGTACTCAGTGCAGTTTCCTTGTTGCGGGGTGAGGGAGTTTATTGATTAAATCAATGGATTTGGGTTGCTGACTGTTGAGATCTTGCTTTGGTTTGGTTTTAGGCGTGCAGCAGATGATATCCAAAGTGGTGCAGAAAACTGTTTTACCGTATCTCTATACGGGTATCTGATCCTTTTCATAACCAGTATAATCAGATGGAAAGGTTATTTTTCATTCTTTGGCACTTGTATCCTGTTCACTTATGCCCTTACATTCAGTACAGACCTACTGTGGTGAAAGAATTGAGCAAGTCTTGTCTCTCTGATCATGAAAATTATCAGGAGTAGTTAGGTGGTGCTTGTGCTTCCATTGTTAGGTCTGATGCTTCTACTGGATTAACTATCTTTGTCTTGAAATACTGAAGTTAACATTTCCCCTTCAATTCTTTTAGCTACATCTTAAATGTGTTACTTGCAGGACAGGCTTTCCTGTGTGTTTAAAACAGCAGTACATTTTAACCTATGCACAACTGCCATAGAACCTGGATTTTTTAAAAATTTTTTCCTCCACTATCTTTTACATAAAACGATAGACTGTCATTGTCACTTTCAAAGATGTCCACAATAGCAAACTTCTCTTGAAGTTAAGTCCTGGTCATCCTAATCTTGTCTATCAGTGTCTTTCAAAAGCAGGTTTTCATGTCAGATCTTATTTTGTGCAGGTGGCAGAGGAGGAATTAGTCCATGGGTCTGAATACTTCACAACGTTGTCTTGTAGATGTCTAATAGAAAGAGTTCTTCTTTTTCTTCTCTCATCTACATTCAAGAATTGGCAGTTTCTGTTCAAGGCAGTTTTGAAGGTTGTATCTCAGAGTTATTTGGTTACAAAAGTTTAGCTACATACCTCAGTGATGTTTCTGCATCCCAAGGTGCTAAATATTAAAAACTTAAATTTGGGGGAATTTGTCACAGTGGTGGCAATGAAATAAATCTGAAGGGTAACTTGAGACAGGAGGCACGATACAGTGGCAGGATTTTTGAGAAACTGTGGCTTTGGAATTGAGACTGGGGTTCTCGTCTATTAGTGTGTGAATCCCAAGCGCCAGATTCATGGGTTTCCATCGTGTGATGTTCAGATGCTGCATAATCAGTAGATGATTTACATACTTGTAAACTTAGGTCTTGAACACTTAACATTTCATCGGATCTGCTTAAAAATGGAATTGTCTATTTTTTTCTGCTTCTTTAATGCTTTGTTTTGTGTTTGTTGTTGTTGTTTGCAGACGTGGGTTGGCAATAAACGAAGGAAGATGAGCAGCAAGAGTGCTGTAGAATCTGGGGGCACTCCCCCAGGGACTGTCCCTACTACTCCCTCAGTACCTCCAGAAGCAGCAGTTAGAAACGTGGTAAATATTGCTCGATCCCAAAGTCAGCAGTCTTCTTGGACTTCTTCTAGTAACGATGTAATAGTTACTGGTATATACAGTCCTGCTAGTTCAACCAGTAGGCAAGGATCCACCAAGCAGGTGAACACTTCAATGGCAGAAATACATAAAACCTCTATTCCACGACTACCAGGAAAAAATGACACAGAATTTCAGCAGCAGCACATCCCTATAGGACGACAAGTACCACATTGTAAAAATGCTTCCCTGTTAGTGGGAGAAAAGACTATTATTTTATCTAGGCAAACAAGTGTACTGAATTCTGCGAACTCCATATATAGTCACACTAAAAAAAGCTATGGTGGTTCATCAGTCCAGACTGCAGAGTTGGTGTTACCTCAGAAGCCCATGATATGCCACAGGCCCTGTAAAGCTGAACCCGTGGGATGTCAGAGGTTACAAAAACCGGAACATGCAGCTCTCGCATCGCATGTGCCCCCTGGACAAAGGGCTAATACCAGGGACCCTTCTTGTAGCACACAAAACCTGGAAATCCGTGAAGTGTTTTCTCTGGCAGTTACAGATCAACCTCAGAGAATTGTGGCAGGAGGTGCAGCGCAGAAGCATTGCTCGGTGGAAGGCAGCTGTCTGTCCATCGCGATGGAAACCGGAGATGTGGATGATGAATATGCTAGAGAAGAAGAGCTGGCATCCATGGGAGCACAAATACAAAGCTATTCAAGATACTGTGAAAGCAGCAGTTCTGTTCGAGTAGAGAACCAAAGTGCAGCTTTGTCTGGGCCTGGAAGAAATGTGAGCTGTAGTTCACAGATGGTGAATGCCAGGGACGTGCCTGACAACATTCTCTACCATAACAGAGACTACCACTTGCCTGCACGGACCTCATTACATACAACATCCAGTACATTATATAACAGTGCTAACCCATCAAGAAGTACCTTTTCTCCTCATTTTACATCTTCAAGTCAACTGAGGCTGTCACAAAACCAAAATAATTACCAGGTAATCTGTCAATTTATCCGTCTTCAAGTTTTGAAGACAAGGTTGTAGATAAGTACTGTTTTCTTTAAAAGTTGGTATGTGGTCAGTGATGGGTTCACCTTTCTGCAGGCTGTGCTCTATTTACATCTTTTGGTGGAGGTAATTTCTTCTTAAACAAAGGTGCAGGTAGGGCTGTAGTATGGTACCACTCCTACCTGTAGAGCTGAGCCCGGGGCTGTGGTGGGTGGCTGTATATTAAAGATCAGTGTATATTATAGATTCTGTAGATAAACTTTGGTTACAAGAGGTTTGTGCCTGCAACTGCTGATGCTTTCTAAAGCCTGTGTGGTCCTGGCATAGCTTGCCAGCGTGTGTCACAGCTATACCCTTGTTTGTTCCTCTGTAGACATACTTCGCACGTAGCACAGGGCAGAACATGGGATCGTGCCATCATTTGTGTGCTGTACAGTTGCTTGCCCTTATTAATGTCAGCTTGGATTAGCTCTTCCATCAGCACTGCCTGTACCCCCTGTGCAGTAACCAATCTCTTGGACCCATTTTCTCTTAGGGATTAGGATCTCCTGCAAGCTAGTTAAGATGATGGGAGGCACTAGGTGAGCAATTCTTCCTCTCCCACAGCATCTAATTCAAAATTGGTTTTACATTCAATCTCATGATTTCCTCATCTTGTAAGAGTGTCCCTTCAGTGATAAAGAGAGGAGAAAATTAAATGCAGATAGTTGAAGAACTAACAGAAGAAGCTACAACACTGACACATGTGTTTTTTATTTTTTATTATAACTAGAGGAGAGAGAGTTGTGCGGCAAACATCCAAACTGATATTTTTTTCAGGGACTTTTATGCCATGTGACATGACATAGTCTAGAGACACTGCGATAAAAAACTTAAGATAAAAATCTTAAAATAATTAAAAATAAATGTGTTATCTTTGTGCATTTGCCTGTTACTACCGTTTTAATTTATCCTGAAAGTGAACCATGTAAACAATGTACTATCTTTTACTGGTATAGGGAACATATAGGAAACAATACTTCATTTTATTTTTTTTTGTCTGACTCGTTCCTGTCTCATGTGAGGAAATGAAAGAAAGCTTTTGAGTCCAAGGAACTGCCACTTTTCACCAGAATTATTGTTTTTCTTGGTAAACATGACATTCGAGGAGCATATGTACTCTGGAGTAGATTCTGTGAAGTAGATGGGGCATCTGTAATTCTTACCACCTTTTCTAAGCTGAGCACTTTAGATGAACTGTTCTTTCTCTTTCTCCCTTCTCTCAGTCAGTATTTGCTATTACTGTTCTTACTTGAGTTATAAAATTCATTAAATGCTGTTTACTTTTGACATACCAGTTTTGTAGAAAAAAAGCTGTAAATGTGTACATCTTTTCAATAAAGGGCTGGTAAAGCTGCAATAGAGCATACAATAGAATTAAGGAAATTTTTCTAAAGTTTCATGAAGTGAAATATATTGTTGATGCTTCCAGCTATGTGCTCTTGATACTTTATTTTACTCTTGAAAAAGCAACAGTAAGACTTAGTTCTTAATACTTTTTTGAATTTTTAATGGAATTTGAAATAAGTTTGATTTGGGATATTTTGTGGGTAGGGACAGAATCACAGCTGGAATGGTTCATGATAGGTGACATTTTATCATGTGGCTTGTTATTGATCAGAACAAGGAGATCTCTGTAACTTCATTTTTGGGTTGTTTTTATGTTGTTTTTTTTTTTCTTGTTATAACAACATACCTATTATTTTTGTTAAGTTAGCAACTTGTCTGTAACCCTTTGACTCCCATGCCTGTCTCTTAGAAGTCCTGTTCTGTGAATTTGGGAATGCACCTTGGATTGAGGGAGCTCCTGTTTCCCATGGTATCCCTTGCCCTTCCACAGTTCTAAACCTTGGAAAAACTGTACAGCTTGCTATTAATTCACTTATTGCTGTCAGCATTCATGCTATGAACCTCTGAGATGACACTCTTCAGTACTAGAGAATTTATCAGGGAAGGCAGAAGCTGTGGGGTCAGGGCATATGGTATCATGGCTCTGGGGCAGCTGCAGAGGAACAGTGTCCTGCAGCCTGGCCAGATCCCACAGTACCTTGAAGAAATGATGGTGCTGATTTCTCCGGATCACTGCCTTCCTTGCTTAGTTTTTAGCACGTTCCTGAACAATGCAGAAGTAAGTCCTGTGTCTTAAGAGGTGTTACTAAATGACAGTGACACTTCTAACAGTCATTTATCAAGCTGACAAGAAAACTTCACCTACTGCCTTCAAAGTCATGTGCAGCAAATAGTGTACCCTGCTAGGTTGATAATGTATTTTGTTGAAATCATCAGTTCTGCACTACTTTAACCCCTTACTCCAAGTCCTCCCATTAAAATTAAGTGTAGTATGACTGCTCTTCCATATAGACACTCTCCTTATAGCTTAGTAATCCCCTTACAGCTTAATAATTGGTATACATAAAAATTTCATAGACATAGACATAGATTTTTTTAACAGATAGACTTATTAAGGATTACACTTCTGTATGTAGTCAGGTCCTGTGAGTTTTATTGCCTGTGTTAAGCCAATTTATCCATCACAGTGTAGGAATGGAAATCCTTAAAACTAGGGAAATGATCCTAAATTTAAAAATAGATTAAACCTGAGCGACATGATTATTGGAGTAGTTAAACATCCAAGCAGATGCTTCTTCAAAGTCAGGACAGTGTGATTTGTGTTCTGATGAAGTAATTACTGTTGTACATTGGTGTGGTATCTAATGAGCAATTAGTTATAGCTTTCTTACTGGTTCAATTAATCAAATTCATGTTAGTGTAGCTTAAGAGTAAATTTAATAAAGTGATCAATTTTAATGCCTGAGCAGTTTCAGTAAACAAATTGTTCAACCTACTTAGTTCTCTTAGTCTGGCTTTAAGCATATTGACCTAGAGAGGCTATTCTTGCTGCTCCTCCAGGCTGAATTGTGATTTAGTCTTGGTTTCCTCCCCCCAACCCTAAAGGACAAAATTACTGTTGAAAGTATGTGTGTTTTTAATTACTTTGTTATACACACTGAAGCACAGTTAGCTAATTTAGCCCTGTTTTCTTCAAGGGAAAATCCTAAGCCTTGCAGCTGGTACATCAGGATAGGGTACAACTATAATATATACTTACTTATTTTTAAGATTCACTTTAAGGATCCTGCTTTATATGAATGAGCTGCAAGTTTGCCTTATTTAAGGAAAAGGGACTTGTTATTTTTTGTTGTTAATTTTATTTTTTTAATGTGTCAAAGTGATTGGTTTACTTCCATAGAGATTTTTGCAGACAAAAGGAGGACTTTCTTGCTAGCTTTGGGCAGCGCAGCTTTTTGCTAGGGCCAGCAACATGGTCTTCTCTGAAGAGACTTGAACAAAGCCTTTCCTGACAAAGCCTTTCCTGACACTCATTCTTGTAACAGAAGTGGGGTTACCTTTGTCACAGGAGTTGCCTATGCTTTATTTCTGGGGTGAAATAATTCCAGCTGCAGGAATGCGGGGAGCCTATGGGGCTGTGGGGGGACAGCAGCTGTGAGCAGGCTGCAGCAACACCCGTGTGGCCTCAAGTAAAGCTGGGACACACGGGAACCTGTGTTGGGTTGGGGCTCTTGGTTTGTTCCAGTGCACTGTATCTGGGACAGCAAATCCACAAGTGAATTGGGAAGAGATGATGTAGGGGCCTCATGTAGCGTAACCACTTTAATGAAGGTACAGCATTGGCAATGCACAACTTCTACAGTACCTTTGAACTGTCTCTAGCATCTGCCAGAGGGGCTGATACTGAGACACAGTATGGGAAATTTCCTGAGAGAAGCATTGCAAGTTGTCACTTCTACAACTCATGGTAGCTGTTCCAGTTGGACTAGGACTGGAATTACACCTGTGGATGCAGGATTACTATCCATCTCACTCAAAAAATAACACCCCTCCAAAAAACTACCAGCTCTTTTGCCTTTTTTATAGACCCAGTTTAGGATACTCCCATGCATGTTGCCTTTCAAGAATTTGTATTAAGATAAACTTGGTTGTATTTGTCATCATACCTGTCAGAACTTGTGTGTGTCTTCCAAGTAACTGTTAATACTCTGCCAGACTGATTGCTTTATTCACATAGAAAGGCACTTTTTTCTGTAGCCCCACTTTAAATTTGTGAAGAGAAACCATCTGGGTGGATACCAAGGACACATTTATAGCAGATCCTGTGGTGTGATGCTGTTGTGTGGCATATGGAAATGTAATAGATGTAACTTGTTTATACAGAATTTCTAAAATGTATGTGTGCAACTAAGAAATTAGTATTTTTGACACAGAAGCTGGTGTAAACTTACCCTTAGGAGCGGAGAGTGTTTGTTTCTAGCTGCCCTCGACCCGCCTTGTGCTGTCATGAGAAAGTGTCGGGCCTTAGGTAACCTCCAAGCACTTCCAGTTAAAACGTTGAAGAATAAAAGTATCTTATGTGCTTGTACACTAGGCAAACTGTACTAAGTATTCTATATTTCATTATGCTTGTGTTGCAAGATTCATTAGTAAAGCACTTCCCAAATACAAAATCTATTAGCGTAGTTTGATAGTCAGCAGAATTGTGTAGCTTTTTCTTCCTCACACATGTAGTGCATATAATGACCTCAGATTGATTAATCTCACAAGAGCTATGTTTAGTCTCTCAAGAATTGCTTGTCTGCAGTAGAAGATGAACGTGGAATCCTAAATAAGCCTAAAATATTCCAGGCTATGACACATTTCAGATGGCCAGGGAAAACAGTCCAAGATTATTAAATAATAAAGTCTGACCTCTGGATGGTCATGGCAATGGGAATCAAGGCAGCTAACCTTTGCCTTCATACCCTCCCCTTCCTTCTCCAGCCTGATCTGCCTCGTTTTCCTGCTAATATGCAAATCCTTAATATCTGACACTGAATAGTTCAATTACTAACGTGATAGGTTTTGGTTTTTTCCTGAAAGTTTAACTGATGTGATTGAAAAATTATGTGACAGCAGTTCTGTCAGACGTTAGGCACTGTCTAACTCCAGTCTGCTTAATCTTACTGGTTTTGTGACAGATTGAAAATGAAAACCGGTGTTTGGAATTCCAGGTTTTAAGATAGCAAAAGTACAGAAACACTTGAGTTGCCACTGTGTTCTCTTACCCTCACCCAAAGAAACAGTGTTTTTTTTTTTTTTAGTCTTGCAACAGTAAGGCTGAGCGTGACTCTGTTTTGCTTTTAAATCTTAACCTTTGTTAAAGACATTCTTAGCAGAATTAAATGCACAGTATTGAAGTCTTGTGAAAGCTGCTCAGTATTAGCTATCATGGCAACCTAAGATGTTGTTCTGTTTCCCCTTTCCCCTCTGCAGATTTCAGGAAACCTTACTGTGCCTTGGATTACAGGTTGTTCCAGAAAAAGAGCAGTAAGTATATTTCCATCTAAGTATCTAATGTGTCAAGTGAAAGAATGAAAAGTTTATCTAAATGTATTTTTTTAAATGTCAGTTCTGTTTGTGTGGTAGGGGGTTTCTGGTTTTGTTTTTTCCCCTTTATACTTTGACTAATACAAACATTATCTGCAGACACAATGCTTGTGTTACCGTAAAGTTGATGGATATCTTTAAAAGCAGGCTGAGGTCATAATCCTAAATCAAGTATATGAATTGTGCTATTAGTTGAAATATAACATTTAAGTTGATAAGGACTAAGAGTTTAGAGCTCAAAATACATTTTTTTTAATCACAAAAATGAAATGGCTATTAATTGAGAGACAACTGAATGCTTGAGAGGATAACTCCCTCTTCAGCTGCTCTGCACATGCACAGAATTAGTCCGTGCTATCTGGAGTAACTCTCTCAAATCTAATTTTATCCACATGTATGTCACTTTACATTAGGCAGAATCAGCCAGGTTGGTGTCCTCAATTCACAAATGACTCCAAAACATAACACAAGGTATGAAACAGCTTTTGTCAGGAAAATTCCTCCATCTGACTCTTTAATTTGATTCCTGTACAGCATTTCCATTCAAGAGTAGTCTGCTTGCATCTCTGGAGAACATGTAGTATCTGCTGTCTTGCCCTGAAAATGCACCCTAAACCTGGGGATGGGATGGTACGACTCAGCTTTCCAGAGGCTGTTACATATTAGCCCAGCTGTACCAGAGGCAGTGCCTGGGGAGATGGTTATCAGAACCAAATTATCCCATCAAACCCCCCAAGCCATTGAGCTGTCAACGTCATCTGTGCTGTTTTGGCAATGATGTCTAGGTATTGGAAGAACCTTTCCTTGCCTTCTCCTCTCTGCAGTACCCAGTACTTTTTTCAGGTTTTTTAATGTTTTTTAGATCTTCTGTTTGAGCTTCAAAAGGTGTGAGTTTGGTAATGTTTCCTATCTGTGGTCCCAGGAATCAAAGGACCATCACATTCATTGTATTTTTTTTTCTCAGACTTTTGCTAGGTCTCAACTTTAGCCCCCTTCTAGTTTCTGCAGGCTGTGGTAGTATCACTTGTTTCTGTTTATACAGAGAGCACTTTATAAGAGCATCTCCCAGAGGAACCAGTGCTTTTATAAAAGTCCTGTTGTTGCTCGTTCCATCTCTTTTTTTTTTTTTTTTCTTATTTTTCCCCGAAATCCTAGTTCTCTTGAGTAGGCTTTTTTAAATGGAGCCCTTTTCTGGAAGTCACCTTCACTCTATCACTTAGTGACCTTTTAAAACGGCAAGCAGCTGGTGAGTGTCCTGGGCTACAGTTTCACTTTGAGCTGATTTGCACCTCGCTGTTGAAAGGGGGAGGTTTTTCTCCCCCCTCTCCCTGCTGTGCTCTGCCACCCCATCCCGAGCACTGGCGCTAGGATCTAATTGCAAGGTAATCCAGGTCAGGCGTCTGACCTGTCAGATACATATTCTTCTGCTGAGTTGGTCTTTCTGCTGTCTCTGGTGGGTTGTGAATTTAGGGATCAGATGAGGGCCAGAGCCAGCTCAAAGTGGGCAGCAGGAGCATGTGGCTGGGAGCAATCAAGAGAGTGGGGCACGATGCTGTCGCCTGCTTTCAGCACCGGGTAGGCTCTTGAGTCGTGGTGGCCACGCTCAATATTTGACACAATGAGTTTAAAACCTTCAAGGATGTGGAAATGCTAGTTTATTAGGATGGTTATTAGGGAATTCTTTTTCCTTAGACCTGTACTCCTGTATCTTTTTTAATCAATAAACTGCATAAAACCCATTGGTTAATACAGTCTGATTTGAAGCACCTGCTTCTGGACTTGTGGATGCACTTTCTCGAATTTAAATTTAAGCCTTCTTAGGGAGAAAAGTTCAGGAGCTGGCATTCTAAAACAGCTGTATATGCACAGGTGTAAGACAACAAAAAGAGAGAAAAAACTCGTACTTCCTAGGAAACTTCAGTTTCAAATGTGAAATTCTTTTGAAGAAAGAGTGTGAGGGAACAGAACTAGAATGGATAGAGTTGTAAAACTGCGATTATAGCAATTACTGCCATTCAAACAGTAAAAAGGCTAATCTGTATTTTGTTTAAAATGGAGAAAATTGTCTTTTAGATGCTCTGAATTTTTAATCTTTTGCCTTGATGTTTTGTTCCCCTTGCCCTGTCCTTCAACTGCATCAAGAAATAAAAACTGTGCAGTTCTGCAGAAACTCTTTCTAGTCTGCTCAGCTATGCTGTTAAGATGACGTAATCCTGACTCTTAATGAATATTAGTCTAGAAATATCAGTTCTCAGTTATTCATGAGAATGTCTTTGGAAATCAGAGAGTTCTGTATTCTGTCATGGTGCATGTGCAATGGCCTTTACAAATGCATTGATTTTGGGGTTTTTTATGGGGTGGTGGAAGGATAACAAGGATTAAAGAGAATGAAAAGGGGGAAAATATCTTCACTTGTGTCCTCACAGATAAGTCTTGAGTGTACTAACTGTGCTTAAGTCATGTGTCATCTGATGTCTTAGCAGAATGATTAGTATTTGTGGTAGATCCCTGGTAAGCTAGCTATGAAAAACATTTGGCACATTTGGTGTTGATTCTAGGTAAGCTGTGCCTGGCTGAGTTGTGAAGTTTTATTTTTGGGGGAGATCAGGGGTTTTGGTGTCCTGCTTTTTTTTTTTTTAAAAAAAAAATTTCTACATAGAAGTAGTTCTAGTGGTCTTGATATCAAGTCTGAAACATAAAGTCATTAAGATAACAGATTAAGGTTTTAGATTTCTATCTGCCCATGACTGTTCAGAAGCAGGCATAGTAAATCACATGGTATGTAGCTTGTTTATTTTGGATGGGATTTGATTTTTAAGTTGTGTTCATGTGTCTGGGCTAGTTCATGTGAGGTTTCAAGGGACACTGCCCTCAGTGGAAAAATTCACAGGGAAGCTAGTCTTGTATTTTCCCCCTTCATGGAGCAACACTGCATGATGCCTTCCCGAGTAGTGTACTTCTGCACTTCGGTGGAACCTCTGCTGTAGGTGGGTTTAGCTCAATCTGCCTAGAGCTTCAGCTTGGGGTCTCTGGCCTCTCAGTCTGGCATGTATATTTTGGGAACAAATACCTGGAAGAAGTGGAGGATTCCTGTGTTAGATTTTGATTTTTAAATTGTTGTTTCAGCATTGCCTATTTCACTAAAATTCTGGAGATAGCGGCATTGAAGTGTTCCCTTTGGAGTCCTGCCTGTCACAGAAAGAGTACAGTAGAAACACTTTGAATCAGGTAAAGGAGCTGATCTAACTCCAGTTTGGTGTGAGACCAGCCACCAGTTGTACTGGCAAGTATATGGGCGTAGGGAAGATGGCAAGATTGTGTGGAGGAGACTAGGTGAGGGCTAGTCTCCCTCACCTAGTCAGTATGACTACTGAGAGACATCAGTATGACTACTAAAGAAAATACCTTGTTTTAGACCTTTTTAGACTGTATCTAAAAATCTTACAAAAACTACCTACTAGGACAGGAAGTCTACCTACACTGGAGAAAATGTTTTAGAGCCACTTTTAAAGTAAAATGGGCACCCATAGGGATTAAAACTATCTTTTGTTTTAAAACTGTACCAATATTAGCTTGTGAAGTTCCCTTCGTCTGTTTGCATTCCTCTCCTCTCCTCTCCTAGAAGGGCAGAAGGAAGAAAACTATTTTAGTCAAGTTGGTGAGAGCATGTCTGAGTAAGATAGTCAGAGCCTTCAGCAAGAGAGACTTACAAGCCGACCTGAAGACCTCCACAGCACCGAATTGTGAATGCTCTCCTTGTTGATACCTTTTCTTCCATGTCATTTGGATAACTAGTTAAAGGTTTTCCTCCTGTGAAATATTTCACCACGTATCCCGAGGTACTTAACTTTGTTAATGTTTACACTGGATGATAATAACACGCATAACATGGAACAGCAGCTCTTTGCTACTCCCAACAGCAATCCTTCAGTTCATGCAAAGGGAAGGCAAGTCTTAACCATAGTTTCAGACCAAATATATCTTTGGATGCATGCTGCACCTGAGTTCCACACATCACCTAGGCTTATTGTATGCTGTGATCCTGCAGGCTGGAAGGAATGTCATATCTGGCCAGGAATTGGAAAAAGAATTTCTAGTCAAGTATGAGGAAAACATTAATAGATTAAGTAAGAATCGTGGTATTACTGTCTAAAACTCAGTTTACTTTGAGGCTGAATGTTCATTATTTAACTAGTTCAAAAATCCATACTTTGAGGCTGAATGTTCATTATTTAACAAACTAGTTCAAAAATCTAATGAAGAAGGGCAAGTTGTCAGTTGGTGTGGATTGGGAGTTGATTTTGGAAATTACGGAGTGAGATGATGAGTTTGGAGTGTAATTAGTCTGTTGCACTGATAGCTCTGTTTTTCTTTTTTGCCTTTTTTTTTTTCCTCCTTAGCTGTGTTCAGTTTAGAAACATAGTAACAGAATAGATGTAATTTTGTCTCAGTGTTGAAGCAGTTACAGGTCCTTTCAAGCTGTGGTACTATGAAATATTTATCAGTCCTTCTATGAGAGCAAACTTCAAGCTTACCCAACCAGCAGGAAAAGATGAAAAAAGTCTCTCTTCCAGAAATCTAACCATTTTTGCACTAATAATATGTTAGCAGTCATAGTTTAAGGGTGCCTTCAGATGCCATTAGGCTTGCAGTCTATTTCTGGACACCTTTTTTGCCTGAAGGCTGTGGCAGCTTGCTGCTTTATCTTGTGCCCTATGAATGAAGCTGGTAGTAGCAACTCACTCCTAGCTGTTTGTTTTGCTACAGGCCCTCAGGTACATTTCTTTGTCCTAAGAAGATTGAAGGTATCTCGTGAGGGGTGCTTACCTGCTCATGTGATGAAAAGGGAACTCTCAAGATTTGGGGAAAGGCAGTGTCTAGAAATCAGCTCTCTGAATTGCTCTTGTTGTTATGGCCACCAGCTGCTTTTCTGTTGTTTT